AGTAAGTTATTACTTTGGGTAATAAATAAATAATTAAATAATTAAATAAAATTAGGTAATTAAAAATAAAAAATAAATTTAAATTATTACTTAAATCACATTTCACAAGAATTGCCAGTAACAAGCTATTTATCACCAATATATATCCAACATCATATTTTTGATTATGTTTCACACATCATTTGCTATAAAAATTATGAGATTTCCATCACCATTTGAAGAATAAATCTAAGATTTGGTGGCAGAAGGCCCATACTTGCTGTAAATTATAGTTCTATCATAAGATAAATTACGTAGTTATCCTAAGGAACTATCAAGCTTTTAGAACTTCCAACTGGAGATTATATACTTTTTAAAAGATTTATCAAAATTAGATTTATAAGCATAAACAACAAAAGAATATATTTAAGAACCCACTCACTCAGTCCATCTATCTGATCAATTTTTACTAAGCATTATATACATCATAAGGGTACTCTATTTTATTGACTGCTTTATAATTTTTAAAATATTAAACTTCCTTCTAATTCAATGTTTTACATTCCATTTCTCACATACCACCTAGAGAGAAGCTATAGCCTCTAGGCCCGGTTATGTGGCTAATTCAAAAATAATCATTGTGTGGAACTAGAGCAGAAGAAATTGGCCTGAACCTTTAAAATGTTATTCTACAATCTAAAGCCCATCTGCAAATTTAGGAGGATGAATCAGATTAGAGGTTTTTTTTTTTTTTTTTTTTTTTTGAGACTCTCGCTCTATTGCCGAGGCCAGAGTGCAGTGGCGTGCTCTTGACTCACTGCAACCTCTCCCTCCAGCGTCCGAGCGATTCTCCTGCTTCAGCCCGCCAGGTAGCTGGGATTACAGGCATGCACTATGACGCCCAGCTAATTTTTGTATTTTTAGTAGAGAGTGGGGTTTCACCATGTTGGCCAGGCTGGCCTTGAACTCCTGACCTCAAATGAACCGCCTGCCTCAGCCTCCCAAAGTCCAGAGATTACAGATTGAGCCACCGCGCCCAGCCAAGATTAGAGATTTTCAAACTGCATCTATATAAGGTTCTAGGAAGCCATCTCAGGAGCCACCGCATGGGATAAGCATCTACAGCTGCTAGAATGACCCCCTACCCAACTTTGCTTTAACCGGATTAACCAAACTAACGTTGATGGAGCACTGTACTAAGCAGTTTTATACATAGTATCTTATTTAAAATTCCTACAAACTCTATGATGGAGGTACTAGTATTACTCCGACTTCACAGATGAGGAAACTGGAGCTTAGCAGCTATACAGGTAGGAAGCCGAGTCAGGTTATTCTAAGTCCAGGTAGTCTGACTCCAGAGTTTGAGTTCCTAATTACCAGCACACATCAAAGCACCATCATTTTTAGCTGTTTTATACACGGGTCATTCCTGTAAGATTTCACTTGGCAAACATTCTCGTGCTTAAAAAAGAAAAAAAAATAGCATTGTCAGAAAGAAAAATACGATCTCAAAAGACCTCTTTCCCTACTCTAAAAATTCTATAACTCTAAAATCCTATTTTAAGTAGAAGAGTAGTATGGAATATGACTAAAGAGTAAAAAAAAAAAAAAAAAAAAAATGCATGCCCAGTATTGAAAAGGTTTTAAAGGGAACAAATTTTCATTTTATTATTTTATAACCCATTGCCTCTCTACACTTTAGGATCAATCCTTTTTTAACAATAGTTATGAGAGGAAAAGGAGCCAAATTCTTAAACATTTAAAGATAACTATTGAAATACTTAATGAGGTAATTGCCTCAAAAGGAATCTCAACCTCTTCAAACACTGCTATTTAAATAAAAATTAACTATGCAGGCCTATGTCACCCATAAATTCTTAGCCACCAGCCTCACCTGGGCTCTCAAAACTGCCTAGCAATGCTACCACAACTTCCTTGTTGGCACTCTCACCCTCCACAGCAATGATTTCAAATAATCTCTCCTGATGTTTCTCTTCTTTTTCTTTTTCTTTTTCTTTTTCGGAAACAAGATCTCCCTCTATTACCCAGTCTTGAGTACAGTGGCACAATCATAGCTCTCCACAGCTTCCAACTCCCAGGCTCAAGCGTTCCTCCCATTTCAGCCTCCCAAGTCACTGGGACCACAGGTACATGCCACCATGTCCAGTCAATTATTTATTTTTTGTAGAGACAGGGTCTTGCTATGTTGCCCGGGCTGGTCTTGAACTCCTTGGCTCAAACGATCCTCCCACCTTGGCCTCCCAAAGTGCTGGGATTACAGGCATGAGCCACCATGCCTGCCTCCTGATGTTTCTTAAACAGCCAACACATTCTGCCCCCTAATCTTAGAAGGCAGCCTCACCTCCTACTTCACAATGACAGCTGAAGCCATCAGGGTGGACCTGATTTCCTTTCCTGATACTCAACATAGAAATTCCTGTCCTTGCCCTATCACAATGGAAGCCGCTGTGGATCCTTTCTCCTGGGTCTAATCCCTTCATCTGGGATCTAGATTCCACTCTCTTGCATCTACTCAGAGACTTTCTGTAATCTGCACTTCCCAGTCATGTCTCCAGCTTCTCCCTTTACCCTGGTTCCTTCTCATCAACACTTAAACATGATTGAGCCTCTCCCCATTCGCAACAATCCTGCTAAAAAGCCACAACCCCACATTCCACTCTAACTTCTCTAATTCCTTATTCTCATTCACTCCTCAATTACTTGCATCTGGTTTCTGCCCTCACCCAAATTACCAACAAACCCTTTTCAGGCTTCACCTTACTTGTTATCTCAGCAATGTTTGAAGTTACTGACTACTCTCTTCTGCCTTCCACGGTTTAACTTCACCCCTATATAAGAATGGCTCAAATATTTTATATATATAAATCTC